TTCCACAGGAAATGACAGCAACACAAAGTGCAAACCATGATAATAACCAATTTGACTCTCCCACGCATTACTTCTTAGTAACACCTAAGAACACAGACATTTGTAGCATGCTTGAAAAAGTCTGCTTCACTGCAGAAGCATCATGAGCAATGAGTGTGTCCCCCTCTGAATCAGTCTTCCTGGCCTTCAGAGAAAACAGAGGACTAGAAGAGTGACAGCAGCTCAGAAGTGCAATACTGTCAAGGAAAAAAAAGAAAGGAAAAATGCTGAAAGAATGAAGCCAACACGTGTAGAACACTGTTACACTGTACTGATCCAAACAACGCAACCTGCATGGATATTTTTAAAATACACTCCCTGGCAGAGAGAATGACAATCTCTCAGGCTAGCAATACAGCTGTCAAACCCCAACATCTTAAACTATGCAGATATATGTGAAAAAAACAATGGCCAATATCAATAACTATCTTGATTACAACTGGAAAAAGACTGAAATGAAGAGCAGAAGCTAATTAAAGCAATACTAAACAGCAGCATGGGGGCGAACCTTAAAATCGGTCAAACAACTATAAAAAGAAAGAAGGAAAACTACAGACACTGATCCAAGTTTCTGAATTGCACTACAAGAGATTACAGGGGAACCCATCTTCCCCAAACCCCCTTTTGCTCTCCCATCTTCTCCAAACCGCCTTCTGCTCTCCCATCCTCTCCTTATCCTTCCCTACAAATGAAAATGTAACTTTTATTGATGCCCATAGGTAAGTACTGAGAGTCAAAAGCATTACACTCAGCTTCTGGACAAGCCACCACCCTGCAGAAAAACAAGGGCATTATTTGGATGGAAGAATCAGTATGTATTACTGACTTGACTAGTCCCTTTTTTATTAGCAGCTGCTAGAACAGGGAGTGCACTGGTGTGGTGCAGCTGTTCCACATATGTTATAAATAAGGTCTGGTAAAAGCTCATCCTATTTTTAACATTACGAAAAAACCCGAGAAGCCACAGAAATTCCCCATTAATGCCTTGTAAGTAGATCTTTTCTCCTATTCTTGACTTCAATGCCCAGAGCTAAATGGACAAAACAGCCCACTCTTAAAATAATATTCATTAAAAAAAAAAAAAATGGAAAGAAAATGCAATTTAATGAAATTAGATTAAGATATCCCAGAAGATATAGCAAATCGGTGTGTACAGTGTCTTTTTCTTCAAAAGCAGACACTCAATCAGGATAAAAATAAACCCCTGCAATTCCATTTCTAATATAAAAAGTCAGATTACCTCACTGAAGAACCTTTCTAGCACTACCCAAAAGCTGAGAGGTCTCCACCCCCACCCGCACAGCTGGGCACTAACCCCAGCACCACACAGCTCAGACACCACCCCCTTCTTCCCAAACCAGTCCTCGCTTGCCCTCTCTGGGCTGCTGTGTGCAGCCAGACCCCATCGCTAGCTCCTGCTCACCCCTCCAGTGCTGAAAAGGCCAACAAGGCAAAATCCCCACCCTGGGCAAATCCCTCCCTCACCTGTTTTCAGGGTCTGACACCGTCATGTTGCGTGTCACGTAGCACATCTTGAGGGGTATTGTCTTCTTGTCTCTGTGGATGGAGAGCGAAAGCTGCGACAGTGGGTCAGCAGGGGCACAACCCAAGCGGGGAGATTCGGGGGGAGGTGTCTCCCACCCAATTTCTGAAACAGGGGAGCCTTTCTTCACATAGGGGGTTGCTTCTCTCATGTATTTCACTATGAAAAAGAAAAAAAAAAAAAAAAAAGGGAAGCAATAAATAAATGGATATTCAGTGTTTGTGTCCCATGTGGGTTCTTTGAACTGGTATCAATCCTCCATGTTGTTTTTCTACTTGTCCAGCATCCCAGCATTGGAAGCTGTGCAAATACAGAACATGGAGATGTGACTGCAGTCCATCTCAGTATAGTGCAATGAGTAAAATGAAGGGAAATAACAGAATAGGAGAACTAAGAACATATGGCTAGTGTAAGGCCAGGAGAGCCATCTGACCTCTGCTCAACAGGTTGTAAGTTCTCAGGTAGCAATTCAGAGTACAGAGCCATGGGTTGTCTGAGGTATAAGAGAAGTTTTTTTAAGAAAGACATTCAACCATGTGACAGTGAAACTATTATTTTTTTTAATCTTGCAACGATGCTCTCAGTGCTGCAAATTCAGGTCTCACTTCTGGTTCATGCCTGTCAGTGTCTTGCCACTGATCTGAACAGCTATTTCTACTTGATGGGAAGCAGTTTTAGCTGATCTACTTGTACATCTCTATATGGAGTAAACAAAAACCAATTCACCTCTTAGCCTTCTCATGGAGAAATAAAATTGAGTTCAAGCCTTTCATGAGAGTGCAGGTGTTAGATTAGATCTCTTCTCAGCCCCTTTAACACTTTTTTTCCAGTAGCGATGGGAAAAGTGAATGTAGGATTCCCAAGTGATCTTAGTGTAGCCAAAAATCAATATCTCTTTTGCACTTATACTTTGTTTTCCCCTCTTTATGCAGGCAAATATTACAACATTTTCCCTGGTTTTGAATTCTTCTGACAGTTCAAGATCGCTTTTGCTTTTCATGTGTTTGGCAAATCTGCCAGCTTCATTCTCTTTCTCCTTCACAAACCTGACGGAGCTCAACCAAGACAATACCTCACATTTAAGTATCCTGGTTAAAACATATATATCCAATGTACACAGCTGTGGCTGCCAAACTGGCTGTCGCCACTTGATTGCACCCGTGACTCAAAGAGCAACGACGCAAAACAAAAGGGCAGGAGCACCATGAACTTATTTGGGGAAGTTATTAAAATGCAGAGAGGTGATTTCAAGGAAACAGTGCAGATCATCACATCAGCTGAGGAGGCTTGGAATGACTGAATAAAAGATGGGTAAATTACAAAAGGGCATCATGGTGAAATAGGTTAAATTAGGGAAAGCAGACTGAAGTTTTGAAGTTTAAAGTGAAAGCAAGGGAAGTATTCAGAGGAGTGGAGAAAAACAAGAGTATTTCTGTCAAAACCACAGAAAAGGTGGACAAATTCAGAAGTTCTGTTTTTGAGGCACGTTGTAACAGCTTTGCCAAAAAAGATACTTGTGCAAACTAGAGCCCAGGCTCTGTGACAATCTATTGGCATCTCTCCTCTAAAAACACCCTACTACATACCTTGCCATTGTTTGCTCTGTCCTTTCTAAAAAAATATCTGTTAAACTCAATATTAAGGACTTCTGTTTTTAGGTATTTCACAGGATATTCCTCTGTGAGAAGGTTAATTTGTGATTTATCAGACATGCTCTTCCACCCAACACTGCTGTTTTTTATTTCTTTGCCCAATACTATTCTGAGAAATTTTTGAAATTAATTTCTTCACCCATTAGGGAAGGGCTGGCACCAAATCTCACCAGGTTTCCAGAAACTATTTAAGGCAACAGGTGTTGAGTTTGAATTTTTGTAGACATCTGGAGTCCATTATCTAAAAACCTGTGTCACCTAACTCTCAAAACCAGTGCTCAGTCTTGGGCAATCCATAAATTACCTGATTTTCAAAGATGCTGAAAATGAGCAGTTTCAGCCTGTGCCATACAGAAACTGGTTTTAGCACTCAGCATCTCAGCTTGGGGGTACTCATAGCCTTTGGGAAACAGAGAGACTGAATACATATACGTGTGGTGAATCTATTCCTGTTTACACTGAACATATACAACTTTGTAATTCATTTAGACGGGAGGAACAGCTGAAGCTGTAAAAATAATGTTTGAGTGCAAACACAATTTTACTACCTTTAAAATTAGGTATTAACAATTAATCTGTTAAAAAAAAAAAGTAATGCAGTCAGTTTTTGAATTCCATTACAGTGACATGCCAGCAAATGTGATGCTAAATAAAGGTCCAGGTCTAAATAGTGTAGCTATTTCATCTGTGCTATTTTCAGCCTTTTCCAGCTGCAGCTGTATGCATTCAACCTGAGCACCTTTTAATTAAGGAAAGGAGAGTGGGGCAGGGGGGATAAGGAAGCTGAAGTGAAAAACTTGGCTCTAAACCTAAGCAGGAACAAAAAATGTGAATTTAATTCCCTGGAGATAGGGACAGAAGAATAAACCCATCCCTTTCGTGTGCCAAGAAGCCAAGTTTCCGTGCAATGCGTCGGTGAATTCACGACAGGCAGCTGCACTGTTTCAGAAACTCCTGTGAAAGAGGAAGCAGAAGGAGGAGGAGAGAGTAGAAACACAACCCTCCTTCCACAAACTAAGTCTCAAGCACAGCACCTTGAGGAAAAATGTCCTATGAAAACTCCTGGCAACTTCTGAACTTCCAGACTGTTTAGTTTCCAGTCTTCGGTTTCTACTAACTCTCAACAGGAAAAAGACTTACACGAATAAAGATCCGTTAATATATTGGTAAACTGCTGAACACCATCTTCCTACAAAATTCTACAAGAGAATTAAAAAAAAGAAAAAAAAAAGGAATATAGGTTTTATGTCCATAGAAATGGATTTTACTAGTTTTCTACTAATTATGCCCTGATTCCCACTAAACACAAATACAGCTCTCCAGACCCTTTGCTGAATTCTGCTGGGTTTTACAAGCCAGACTATGGTTCTTGTGTATTCAAATGTGTTTCACATTTTAAAAACCTCCAACTGGATACATATAAGTGCCTAAATGGAATACGGGAGTTGAAGAAGTGGCAGAACTTGATCCATTTGTATATTTTTAAAATTATTTAAATATCAGTCACTGTTTCCTATTTTTTAAAATTATTTAAATTTCAGTCACTGTTTTCTATTTGCCCCACCAATTCCATGATTACACATCCATAACCAAAGTCCAGTTTATGAATTTAGCTGAAATAAGGCACATGCTGTTCAGATGATACCTAAGTTTTACCAGCAATTATTTACTATTTACCTCTAAACTCTGGATGCAAATACTGCAGAACACTCTGTTTTATACCAATGCATCAGTAACCTCACTACACACACAGCAATTTATGGTCACCCTCCACGTGCCTACATTTTGCAGTCTGTCCATTAACCTGTTCTTAATCAACCTAGAAGAAAACAAGTTGTTACTAGTATGGATTATAGGCACATTCCTATTCCACACTGCATTATCTGAGAATCTTGAATGCGCCAACGTTAATGTATAGCTGAAGTTATACAATTCACTTCCACCATCAAGTTTTAAACCAGAAAAAAACAGGATACAGACTAGTAGACATTAAAGTAATGATGTGGATAATATTCTGTTCTCAGACCATTACACTCAAGAGCTAGATTTCCCTTTGGATACAGTAGCACAAATCCATGTACTGACTGAAAAAGAAAGTGTCTGTAGAGAACACTGGTTTTATATATTGCCAATGAAACCAGCTAATGGATTAAAACACTACAAGATTTTAAAAAATTAAATAAGATATGCCATTATACAACAACTCTGAGTTATGTATAACTATTCTATAGACACGTATATATATGCATTCAGAATAGAGACATATGAATAATACACATACAATATTAAATATCTATTTACATAAAAATACTACATTCTTTAAGACAACCAGAATATACTCTGCAGACATAGAAACCAACACACAAGTAATGGTAAAAAATTCTAGTGGTTTAATTATGAGAACTCAATTTAATGATAGACTGTAATTCCAGTCGAGAGTTGTCTAAACTCATCCATTTGATGCTATAGCTTAACCTCAGAGAACCTTATATTCAGTACTAATTAATGATCCATGCCCCTTTGGTGCACCACTAATTAGAAACTGCGGTCAAGCAATTAAAATTCCAATCTCCGGAGCACCCCTCCCCACAAAGAGAAGAGGAAGGGAAGTGGCAATCAAATGAATTAATCCACTGATACACACTGAAAAATTTTGCATTTATTTTTTGATCTGTAAGACAGGCAATGTAGCTTCCAAAAAAAGCACTTCATTTATAGGCACTTCTGCCAAGTCCCAGGTTTCCACAATTAAACCTTTGTTACTGTTCACAGATGACTTTGGTTTTTTTTGGGGGGAAAAAAGCAGGCTTTTAATGAGAAAAATACTACAGACCAACTTGGTCAGGTTCTTGGCCAGACACAGTTCTGAGGAACTGGGACTCTTCTGACACATTCAAACTGTTTCCTAGGAGGAAGGACAAAGACCACTGTGGAGAAGCCAGCACTCCCAAGCAAAGCTCTTTCATTACTATAGGAATGAGGACAGGATGTGTAGAAAGCAAAAGGAACAACACGCTCCAACCTACTTGAAGAAAGATGATCAAGGAATCCCCCTTTGCACAGGAAAAGCCCTGTCTCTCCTCTTTATAAATTTGTTCTTTCCTGAGTAAGTAACTCAGTAACTCAGAGACAACTACCAAAGGTAAGTAGAAAACCACCCAGACACCTCTTGTGGCATTTTTCAAAGGATGTGCTAACATTGCTGATACATATATCCATAACAGATGTATTTTCCAAAGCTCCCATAAATCCATCTTCAACTAGTCTGGTTTCTGCCTGGTTGAAAGATGGTCCAGAGGAGGTGAGCTAGGCAAGTCCTCAACCATATTTAAGATGTTGTACATCTTAAATACATGTAGGGATCAACCTTCAAAATCACTCAAGCCCAGAAATTGAACATGATGAAGTCAATTGTTTTTATCAGCTTATTCACTATGAAGGCATTGTTTGACTCATCTGTGCTGAAGTGAGTATACCAGACCAGCTCCAGGCAGTCTGGCATACAAA